GTCACTGCCGGCCCAAGTCCTGCCCCTTGCATCATCGCTGGGCAGTGTTGCCCTCATCGTCATCATTACGAGTTCTTTATGGGACATCACCTGGCTTGCATGGTCGATAAGGTGGGGCCGGTATGCTCCATCACCTGGCTTGCATGGCCGATATGGTGTGGCCGGTATACTACGCCTAGTATAAATATAACAAAACAGATATAACTTAAACGAAATATGTTGACATATTCCGCTAAAAGCACCGAGCTTTGCTGTTGTCATCACCATCGAAACAGCGACACTACCGCCTTTTGTCCCTTATAATGTTAAGGATGATTTCTATTATCCTATTCCACTTCCAAAACCGACTATGATATACCTCATAGGCTAGGCCTGTGCTTTATTCTAAAGGCCCTTATCTTACTTCACCTGCATCTTCGCCTAGACGTATCTCCGGCTTCAGCCTGATCTTCATTCTCAACTTGTCAACCTGATCTTCATTCTAAACTGCATCCCTATGTTATGCTATACTTTACTACGCTACACTATACAGTGCCGTACTGTTGCCGCACTTTGCAATATAATGCAACCCTAATGTATTGCAGTATTCCAACACAATCTACTACAACAAACGATCATACAAGACACCCAAAGCGCTAAAGCCTGAATCCCTAAACCTTAACCCTAAACCTTAAACCCTAAATCCCTAAACCCATGAAAACGTCCCTAAATCCTAACCCCGTAAACCCCTCAATCCCTAAACCCCTCCCTAAATCCTAACCCCGTAAACCCCTCAATCCCTAAACCCCTACACCCGTAAATCCCTAAATCCCTACAACCCCTAAACCCCTAAATCCCTACAACCCCTAAAAAATCCTAAAACCCCTAACCCCCCTCTACATCCCTAAATCCAAACCCTAAACCCCCCCTAACCCCTGAATCCGTAAACCCATGATCCCGAAACCTCCTAACCCCCCTAAACTTATGAAGCCTTGAAGCCTAAATCCCTAAATTCCTAAATTCCTAAACCCCTAAATCCCTAAGCTGCTAAACCCCCTGAACCCCTAAATCCCTAAACCCATGATCCCTAAACCCCTAAAACCCCCCCTAAACCCTAAACCCTAAATCCCTTAACCCATGAAGACCTGCAGCCCAAGCCACCTGGGGCTCGGGAAGCGCAGAGACCGGGACCAGCGTCGCCCGGTGGAGGCTGAAGGACACATCCAGCGTGGCGTAGTAGTCCTGAGTAATGGTTTAGGGGATTTAGGGGTTTAGGAGTTTAGGAGTTTTGGAGTTTAGGGTTTAGGGATTTAGGGTTTAGGGATTTAGGGTTTAGGGATTTCGGGTTTAGGGATTTAAGAGTTTTTGGAGTTTAAGGTTTAAGGATATAGGAGTTCTTGGAGTTGAGGGTTTATGGATTTAGGGTTTAGGGTTTAAGGCGTCTCGGTTCGAGCGAAAGTGAGCTTCGCGTCTGCCTTGCAGTGCGTGGCTCTTTGAGCATCCCAGACCCCAGCCGGTGTTTTCTCTCGGCGCCGCCATTGTTCCATCTGGGGAACCTGGCTTGGGCATAGCTTCGCGCTGCCCCTCCCACGGTGGGAGCTTTTCAACCTCTGCAAAGGTTGGTTCACTTGGGCCTTTGGTCGGGCCCTGTATTTGCCCTCGCTGTCATTTGCTTGACCGTGGGTCTTACCTATATATCGCGAGGCCCCCGTCTACGCTGCCTTTTACTGGGCCGTCGACGAAGGGGTGCCCCTCTTTCCCCGGTTGGTTGATGCGAAGGCCGGGAACAGTTTTGTCAGTGCTTGCGGTTCTCTTCTTCCTGGGCATCCAGCTCATTTTGATTGGTCGGGAACCGGATACCACTTGGGGGGACCTTCGCCTTCGGGAGGCTTGTCAAGCTGGGGCGGAGCGGCTCTCCCTCGTGGCATTGGCGCCTTCGGAAGGCGCGCGCCCGGATTCGGCGCAAAGCAAAACACAAGCCTCTGGGCGCCTGGGAGCATCATTTGCTGTCGTCCCATCACGGCAGCATGGCGCCAAAAGGACGTGGTCAGAATGCCCAACAAGCCAAGGGCAAAGCCAAGGGCTCCGACGCAGATGGTCACCTCGACGTCATCCACTTCGGGTTGCCGCAACAAGTGTCTGCAGCGCTGCAGGCCATTTCTACCAGGTCAACGGCCGGTTTGTTCAAGGATGCCGCGGTGATACCAGCCGACCAAACAGCACAGCAAGTCGCGCAGACAAGGGCGAATCAGCTGGACCGGCTTACCAAGAGGCTCAACGGCAACGCCAAGGCAAAAGCCGTCCTACGCGACGCTGCACAGGCTTGGCTTGGCAAATTCGGTCAGCATCTACTCGCGCTGGCAGATCGGCTGCACAATATCGCTACCAAGTTGGATCAGGATCAGACAGACGCGATCAACACCCTGCAGGCCACTACAGTCGCTCTGGCTGTCGATCCGCAGGAACAAATCAGCTCTGCCCTGGCCAGCATGGGCCCTGTTTGGACTCCAGCTCAGGAAGGCGAAGTTCTCCGCCTTGCTGCACAGTTGAGAGCCTTCAGTGCAGTACAGCCAACAACTATACCGGTGGCCCTCCCGTCGTCGGCGAGTACAGGAACTATCTTTGGGGATCCTCAGATGGGACCTATGGGTCATCTTGCGGGCCACCCCGCCCCTGGTGCCGAGTTGCAATACCTGTCGACTACACCCATGGAGACATCTGTTGCCGACGTGCCCGCCAAACGGCGGTGGAGCTTCAGAGGGGCCAAGGCATCGAGGCCATCCAAGAGCCCCCGGCGGGAAATCAACTTGGCAGCAGAACCGTGGAACCGCCTCAGCACTGGCATGACACCGGAACGACCTCAGCGGGTGCCAGACCCTGCGGACGAGGAGGAATTGATCCCGGCAACCAGTGCTGGACAGAACCTCACCTGGGAAGCCGCCTGGAGATTGGTGGTGAAATATTGCCTCGACAATGGGCAAGACCTCGTTGGACAGCTGGCGCGATCAGAGATCCAAGAGATCTCCTTTCCACTGGCTGTGGGGGGACCCGTGGAAGATGTGCAACAACGCAGCGAGGCGATCTGGTATGGCTTAAGCCAGACTTGCTACTTGGAAACGAAGGAGCCCCTGGTGCGGGCGAAATGCTCAAACAGCTGCAAGCCTTTTTGCAGATGTGCCGTGCCAGTCAGGATTCGCTGCCTTTGGTCAGGCAGGGGTCCCTCCTTCTGGCTCTTGCGGCGGAGGGAAGCATATATGGCCTCAGCGACTTCGGCCCGTCCACGGTGCAAGAATGGCTGTTCCCGGCGGGCATCCTGACTCAGAATATTTCCGCATGTGGACACATTCCTGTCGACTGGAGTTCCGAAGCGTTGAAAACGCTGGTGACGCTGCCCTGCCCTTTCCACACAGCTCTCGAGGAATCTACAGTCGAGGAGTCCGACCTATGACACCCGAGCCCAGTGGAACTCAGCAACCGCCCCACAGCTTTATTGCTGCCCACTATGAGGACAGCTACCTTGCGACTGACTGGACGAGGCCCTTCGGAGGATGGTTTGTACACTCTGAGGTCTTGAGCCTGTACATAGCCCTATGTTGTATAGGCCTGTACAGGATCTTCCATTTCTTTTGTCGGTTATCTTCGTCTGAAGACCGTGCTCTCCATGTTGGCCATTTGCTCCAGGCGCTTCGAATCCTCACTGCCACTCCTCTTTGGCTGGCCGCGGTTCCCTATCCTTGCCGGTCCGCTCTGCTCTGCATGGCTGGCGCCTTGGACTTTGGTTTCCCGCTTGCCATCATGCTGCTTCGACAGTTTCGTGACCCAGCGCGTCGCGGGGCGTCCTCATGTGCTGAGCCTTGGATTTCCCCCCTCTGGACTTTGAAAGTCGCCCGTCAGGTGCCTTGGGGTCTCTGGCCCGCCGCTTCTGCTCGCACTGCCACGTGTCTAGCACGCCTTCTGTCCTGCTGTGGGAATGTTGATCTAGCTCTCAGTGACAGTGTCGCTTGGCATCGTCGTGCCTTCCGCAGTTGTTGGTCTTGGCTTGCTACTGGTTTCGGTTCCCTCTGTGGACCTTTTGAGGTCACGCTTGCTTGGGGGCGCTCGCGCTCAGCCTGTCGGGCCGGCAGCCGTTCTCGTGGAAGGCCTCGCCATCCCTGGAAAGCTGTTTTTCTGTTGTATCTGGTCGGGGTTGACGCCAGCGCTCTTCATGTTGGATCTTCACTGTGGCACTCTTGCTTCCTAGGGGGGATATCCACCACTTCCAGCATTCAGCTGTATGCTCACGGCTTTCACGAAGGTCGGCCCGTTTTTAGCACAGGGCCTGTCCCGGCCACGACCCAGGAGGAGGATTTGTGTGAGGTTCTCCCCCTTGGCCGTCCTGGTAATCACCTTCTTACACCGAGTAGAAGACCGCGTCGGCAGGTTGCTATGTTTTTGGGCAGATCAGGGGGAGAGGCCGATCTCGAGCCCTGTCCCATTATTTTCTCGGTTGATGAGCGTCTTCATGGCGATTGCCTTCATCGGCGGCTTCTCCTGTCTGTTGGTGCTGGAGAGTATCGGTTCACTGCATTTTCTCTACACAGTGCCCTCCCCGGCCTTCCTTCTGAACAGCTCCTCTTTACCCCTGTCGACCTGGGCTGGAACTCAGTTCGTCTTCCGGTCGACCTCCGCCCTGTAGGAGGCCGGATAAGCCTTCTCCGTTGTGCCCGTGATGACATGTGCAGCCGCCTTTTCGCTGCTGCTATGGACCAACAAGGCATCTTCAGGCCTGTGGCAGGCATCCTGGGACGCTGTTGCTGGGGCTGGTTTTCCCTTGCTTCGCAGCCGCTCCTGGCCCTTGGGGTCGACACCCTCCAGTTTCTTCCTGGCCCTGACCCGCACGGCCTTCAGCCTTTGTTTGGTACTGCGCTGGAGCCACCTGTCTCCCTGCAAACCAACATGCAGGTCAGCACTCTGCCTTTGGACAGGGGATTGTGCTCCCGGCCACCTGTTTCGGCTCAATCATTTCTCCGCCTCGTTCTGAGTCGGAAGGAGATGAAGATTCTGCCCCGCGTCTCGAGTCAGATGATGAGGATGAGAACCTTCTTGGCGACACCCCTGAAAGGTTACGCCCAGATAATGGGCTGCACATGCGCCCTGCTGGGCCGCCGCCGCCCTTGCCTGCCGGTAGCCCACCCATCCCCGATCCCTTCGGTGCCAATTTGAAAGCGAAGGCCTCCGCCCCTCCCGATGAGAACTATTTGCCTGGGGACTGGGCCACGACACATGTGCAGCGCTCCCCACCGCCGGCAATTGTGATCAGACATGTCCAATGGAGGCTAGCGAGTTTTCAGCAATGCCTGCTTAATGCTGAGGTCTTCAACGACTTCCCGGTACCGGTAGGTACCCCTTTCAGATTTCATAACCCCTTCACCAGCAGAGCACAGTGTGAGGAGCTCCGATACTCCGTTGCCCAAGGCAGGTCACCATGGGAGGCTATAGAGAGCCATGTTCAAAACCGAGGCTGGCGTGCTGTAGTGCTCCTGAATCCGCAGCCAGACTCACAGGCTGTCCACCTCATTGCTATGCCCCATGATTGGCACCTTGTTTCCGTCGCCCTGGTAGCAGGGCTTCGCATCATACCCTGTTGTGTGCCCCGACGTTCTCGCTTTCGCGACTTGCTTGCGGTCCCCATTGAGGACATTCGTGGTCGCTTGGAGCTCCCCATTCAGGTTGAGCTTGACCATGGCACGGTCACTTTCCGCTCCGGGGATTGTTTTCGTGTTGCTGTCCAAGGGGACCTCCCTGCGCCCGTTGATGTTGAGCCCGTTCCCTCGCAGCAGTCAGCAGCTAGTTCTTCTGAGCCGGCACCCCCCGCGACCTCGGGCGGCAGCCTTTCCCGGCCCTCCTGGCCGCTCCTCATCCCCACCGGCCTCGGCGCCTTGCAACTCCGGCCCATCTCCATGCTTGTCATGTTGGCCTGGGTCACCGGTCAAGCCATGCACCGTCCAGGAGGTTTTCCTTGGGGTACCCCGCCGAGAGATAGGGTTTTTCAAAACTCGGAGATTCAGGGACCTGTTCAGGTCGCGTTACATAGCCCCTTTCTAGGCTCTTTTCCTGCTTACCCCGCCGCGCAGGGAATGTCTCATGACACGGCCTGGGCCCAATTCTTGAACGATGACACATCTTGGGCGGTCGAGTTCTTCCCGGTTTGGCCGGGACCCAAATTCACTGAGCTCACTTTTGTTCCTGTTGGGGCTGATTGTGCTACTGTTACGGTGATCCTCCGCTGGCGGGGGCTCGACCGAGCTGCCCTTATCCCTCGTACTGTTACCGTCCGTTGGATGCAGGAGTATGCTTCAGCCCAGGTCTGCACCGATGTTGTCGATGTCTCTTTGCCGCACCCACTTGAGATTTGGAGTGCTTTTGACCCGGTACCATGCGATTTCCGCTTACGCAATGGAGACGTGATATACCTACATGAGAGCGTTCACCACGATCCCGAAGTACTTGTGTTCGAAGAACCTTGGGACTTGCAAGATGGGCGCGCCCACCAGCATGCCCCGTGGGCTGCGGGTTTCCGTCTCGACACCAGTGTCTCGGTTCGACTTCTGCGCCCGGGTCTTCGGCCGTACCTTGCTACTGTCCCGGCGGGTGAGGCTTGGGACCCTCTGGCGTACTCTTTTTCTGGAAACTTCGTCCATGAACACCCGGGACGGTGGACTCCAATTCAATGGACGACTGCGATTCCTCCGCAGCTTCTTCTTGTCAGCGAAGTTGCGGCCCTCGCCAATGTTGTTGTCTCCACGCACGAGGGCCGTCGTGTGCGGGCTGCTCCCCGGTTCGTCGCCAGGGAGGACCTGGCTCAGGCTCTTGAACTAGCCCCTTTTCCCCTTACTGTTGGAGGGGTCCCAGACCTCACCCTGGATCAGGGTGTAGAGCTCCGCAATGGTGATGTCATCTTTGGCTCTCCCGTCGCAGCCAGTTTTAGCTATTCTGCTCGATTTAAGGCTGTCCATTGCGCTGCCGGGCTGGTCTTCCTTGGCCACCTTGTGCTGCATCCGCGCTCTGCGCTTGCTGTGGCAGTACTCGTTTGGTTCTATCCCAGCCGTGTCCACGGCCGAGGGGGGGCCTCTAGCGAGGATGAGCCGTTGAGCCTTGACTCCGATGACGCCCGCACGGTCCGAACCAGGTCCGGCCCCCGGAGCAGGAGCCCTACCCGCCGGATCTTTCCGATTGTAAGACGAGGATCCGCCGGCCGTCCTACGATCCCTACTCACCTGTGGGATCCCACCACCCCTGCCGGCACATGCTGCTTTCCGGGTTTTGCCCCGATTGGTGGACAACTCTCTCTCCGCACTTTATGCCCTTACTCTGGTTGGAGCGAGCCTCGCATTGTGCGACACAATCTTCCATGGCCGCTTTTCGAAAACTTCGGTGCTGGGCATTGTGGTTGTTGGGCCGCTCATTTTGCCCCTGTCGGCTGCGCGGGCAGACGTGGTTCACTTGTGCTTCTGCCAATCTGCCGTGAGCCTTTTGCCACCGTCCTTCTGCATGGCCAAGGTCCTGTTAGGTCTGTTGTAGTGCCTCGCAGTATCACTCCGACTCAATTTCAGCATCTCACGAGGCGACCCGACACAGGCCCTTCGTATTGGCTCTCTGGCCCCCATGCTCAAATGCGGGCTGAGCATACCCGTGTGCAGCTCCGTAATGGTGATCACTTTGGTTTTTCACCTGACACCTGCCACAGTGACAGAGGCCATATTGAATGGCCGGCGTATATGACCCCGGTCGATGCTGTTGCCGGAGCATGCTGGTCGATGCCATTCACCCTTCTGAGCTCTAGCTTAGTCTGGCTTTGGTCCCGCAACTCAGACCGCCCTGAACAAGTGATAGTCCGCGAAGACACCTGGTGGGACCCCTCAGCGTGCACTTTTCGTGACCTGCATGGTGATGCCCTCCCTGGGCCTTGGATTCCCGCTTTGCAAGGAGTTGTAGATGGCCTCCATCTCCTAGGCCCTGGTGGGCGGGCGGCGGTACATGTACTCTGTGCCGAGGAACGTGATGGGACACAATCCCTCACTAATGCGTTCCTGCCGGGGCCGGACTCGGTCAGACCCCCACCCGGATGGCGATGGCACCCCAGCATTGCTCACGTTGAGCCAGATGTCCTCCCGAGATGCTGATGTCCTTGTTCGGGACCCGGAGGCCACCACATTGTGGGAGCCCGCCATGCGGCTGCCACCATCGGCCCTCCCCCTTTTTGATGAGCCCACACGAGCCCTTGCGGGTCTTGCCTTGCTTGGTACACATCCCGCTCGTTGGTTCTTGGGTCTTGTTCTTCTCAGCTCACCAGCCTCTGCTATGATTGAGGCACCGTCCTACACTTTCAATGCCTTTCATGTCGGGCTCTTTCCGTGGAGGCGAGAAGATCCAGATGACACTATGGAGGATGTAAGTGGGGGACAGCCGCTTGAAACGGTGTACCTTAGCCCCTTCACCGGGCCCAGCCCTACCCTGCAGCTTGCCCCAGAGACCACGGTCAATAGATGGTCTGAGGCCCTGCTTAATGGTGAACCCTATTGGGGGGCGTCGGCGTGTCCGGTCTGGCCCACCGTTTCTTCGGGGGCCATGATCGCCGTTCCGTGCCCAGGAGGCTCTGACGTTGTCTGCCTGCATGTGACCTCTCATCAAGTGCATTACGCCGTTTGTGTGCCCCGGGTCTGCACACTACCATGGCTGATTCGCGTTCTCAGCACGTCGGCCTCCCTTGACATCATTAGTCTGGCTATCCCGCCAAGCCTGGACTGTTTGGAGGCCGGGGCTGATGAAGCCCTTCATTGGCGCACCGGTGACCTTGTTGTCGCTCTCCCGCCTGACGCTTTTACCGGCCTCTTTCAGACACCGCTTTTCACCTTGCAAGCACAGGTGAGGCACTGCGCTATATGGTCTCTCGACTTCCGTGTTGCCAATCGAGCTGATGTCATTCTATGGACCCCTGGCCGAGAGAGGCCCCGGCTAACTAAGATTCCGGCCCGCGCTCGCTGGAGTGCCCTGGCATCCACTTTCGAAGGTGAATTTTCCCAGAGATATCCTGGCCGGTGGATACCCGCTCCGTGGGTAGCGGACGATCGCCCGCATCTTGTGTTGCAGCCATCACAAATTGACCGCGCCCATGTGATCGTCGAGGACGGTGTACATACTTTCTGTGCTGATGTTCGGGCAGAGACCGATGCCTACATGCTGTGGGAAGATCTGCCTGCACTGGGAAGTCAGCCGACCGTCCTTTCAGTTCCCATGCCGACCTTGAGGGCTGGTACCCATGTCCGTACAGGCGATGTTATCTATGTTGCTGATCGTAGCGCCTCTGCGCGCTGGAGACAAGGGCCGGGCGCGCTGCTTGCGGTTCTTGTGGCTGCTGCTTTGGGTCGCTGGCCCTGTCTTCTCATTTCGGTTATCCTCGGCGCGCATCTGCCTGTTGTGCCGGGAGTGCGCATCGCCCCTGACGAGGTCTCGCATAGGCTCTGGGACCCGGCTGGCCCAATGTTGGGGCCTGAGTTGGGCCCGCTACACTCTTGCCCTTGGGCGCTTCGTCGTCAGTTGCCGGCATGGACTGCATTTGATATGGTTCGGCCCTCGATCTATGCGGGAGGTCCGGAGTGGGTCCCGCGCGCACCCGATCGAGACCAGGTTACTGTTGTCCTTGTCTGCCCTCCGGCCCCTCGGGCGGTTCTGCTCCCCGCGAGCTGTACGTCTTCCCGACTTCGTGATTTGGCTGCCGCCTTGTCACCACACGCCGGACAGGTAGCGGTTCACCCGGCCGTTAGACGGCTTTCCCTCCATGGGGGCCGCACCCTCTTTTCCTTGCGTTCAGGTGACGTCGTCGTTGTCAAGACTGATGTATGGGTGCCCATGCTTAGAGCTCCCATGACGATCGTCCATGCTACCCCTCAGAATGCGGCGAGAGATGCTTTCTGGGGCCTCCCCTTCCGCATTCAAGAACCAGGGATGCTCTTTGCTTGGAAGCCAAATGAGCCTCGTCCTCTTTGCGTTCCCACTGGCCGCGGTGAGTTTTGGGATCCGGCAGGCTGTTCCTTTCACCCTAGCCTTGTCGCGTTCAGCCCCGATCGCTGGATCCCCACCCAGCTGCTCGACCCGCTGGGTATTCACCTAGTCATTGCCAGCGGCGATCCAGATTACGCGCATCTGATCCAAAGAGGTCCACCAGCAACTATCCTTCGTGACTTTCGAGGTACCTCCCTTGAGGAGATCCGCGATGGTGATGTTGCGTTTGCTGCCACATCCCGCCCGTCTTGCCTCACCTCTCTTTTGCTGGTTACATCCTGCCTGTACAATCCCCGCTCTAGGGGGATTTTGTGTGCTGCCTTGAGTCTCAGCGTATGTCAGACCGCCTACCTTACGGCCTTGTTACACAGTACGGCGCCGTTGTCACTGCGGCCTCGGGGTTGGACCACGGCCCAAATGCTCTTTTCGACTTATGCCTCTGCCTGGGGGGCCCCGGCGCACAGACCGGACCCTCCTCAGATCCCCTTGCACAACACCGCCACTGCGTATGTTCTCCTCTCTTTACACTTCCTCCGCAAGCCCCTGCGCCAGGAAATGCCCGCCTCAACCCCGGCAGCGCTTCAACGCGCCTGGCGATCCTTCCCAGCGTGGGGGGGCGGTGTCCCCGACGAGGTCTTCATTGCCACGGATGGCAGCGGCGAGGGACACGGGAGTTGGGCTTTTGTAGCCTGGGCCTTGTGGCGAGGCCACTGGTATCGGATTGGTTGGGATTGCGGTTCTCTCTACCATACCCCATGGCTCCCCCCCGCACCCGTGCATGGAGTCGACACACGCTCTTATCTGGCGGAGCTGGGCGCCCTGACATCGGCTGCGGCATGGCTCACCGCCTGGTGGGACAGCCTCCTAGTCCACACGGCAGCGGCCCCAGGTAAAGTCACCATTGCTGTTGACAATACTTCCGCATTACAGGTCGCGGCTGGACATGCCAGTGCTGCCGCAGCCCCCGCTCAGGTATGTCGGGGCTTGTGGCAAGGCGCACAATCCAGGCTCTCCACCGATTTCCGTCACGTGCCGGGGCATGCTGGCTTTGCTGTCAATGAGTTAGCCGATTTCCTAGCGGGCTATGTGGTGCGACATCCAGCTGCCGGCTCGGGTGCCTACAGCCAATTTCCCGCGGATTTTGCCTCGTGCCTCCATGCCGTCTGCAGCACCATGTGGTTACTACCTACTGCTACTCGCACACCGGAAGGCCTGATATGGAGTTGCCCGCGTGTCTCTACTGAGGCTGATCCCGACTCCGACCGCGTGACTCACACTCTATCCACCGCCGAGTCAGTTGCTAAGCCGGCCTCGGCACCCACACAGACGCCACCGACCTCCTGTGAGATTTCGGTTGTTCAGGCCAACATCCAAACCATTAAAGATGTTGAACCGTCCTTTTTCAATCGGGACGGGCACGGCCAACGGCGCATCTATTTGACCCGTCAGCTCCTCGAGCTCGATGCCCACATTGCTCTTTTGCAGGAGTGTAGGAGCAGAGCAGGCCGTTGGTCTTCGCATGGATTCCTAAGTTGGAGGTCGGGCCATACCAAAGGCAACTTGGGGGTTGAGGTGTGGGTTCGACCAGATTGCGTGCGTCCGCCTCTGCAACTTGATCATTGGCGCATTTGCTTTTCTGCGCCACGTCTTCTTATAGTGAGATGCTTGCGGGCCGACCCCTTTTTAGCACTCAGCTCCGGCGCCTTCGGAGAGACGGGCCGCTTGTGATTGGAGTTGACGCTAATGCCGACTTTCTCGCGCAGGACGAGCACAGCATTTTGATCGGACCCACCCTGTCTGTGCGACAGGGTCGCCCTGCCGATGATTTTCTCCTCCAGCTTGTTCAGGAAATGAGTCTCTACGCAGTTGGTACATGGCCCGACTTGCACATTGGCCCTACCTGGACATGGCAACACACTAGCGGCAAAAGGCAGCGGCTCGACCATCTGCTGCTTTCTTCGGGGACGCCGGCCTTCCGGCATCAACAGTTTCCTGAATTTGATATTCTCAATGGTGAGACTCGTGATCATATGCCCTTGCGGTGCCAGGTCATTGTCAGAGGCCGCGCCTGCCAAGATCAGCAGCCTGTTGGTCGTTATGCCGCTGATAGGGCGGGTGATGTTGCGACTGCCATATGGTCCTCGATCCTGCCTCGTTTTGATCTGTCTCCCTCCGACCAGGTTTCGGCGTTCATGCAGCGGCATTTGGCGGTCGTCAAAGCCTTGCCCCGTCGGCCACCCTTTGTCAAGCGACAGCCCTATATATCTGACGAGGCAGCTGCCGTCCTTTCTGAGCTGCGCGATGTTCGTGCGGAACTGCGGACCCTGCGAGCCGCTTTTGCCTCCTAGCTCCACGCTCCGTACCGCTTTCACTCTTTGGCGGGGAGCCGCTCGGTCGGCAGCCTTAGGGGCACACCACCATTGTCTGCGACTCCAAATTGCTCACTTTCAATCCGTCGCCTTTTCGCTTCGGGTTAGGGCGCATACACTCGCCCGACGAGATAAAAAGGAACATTTCGAGCCCCTTCTCGCTGATGCTGCTGCACACTGGCATGCCACTGGCCGAATCCATGAGAGTGCCGACAAACTTGCCTGGGCCTCGAAGACAGCCCGCCAAAAGCGTGAGGTGCGTGCTGCCAGTGGCTTTGACATCGATGGCGACCCGCAGGCCCAGTTCCAACAGCAGGAAGCTGGACGTGCAGTGTCTACCGCACAGCTTGAGGCACATTTCTCGGCTTGGCAGCAGCACCAGCGGGAAGCGTGCTCTATGGCTTTACCTACCCTGCTCGACTTAGAGTCGCTGTGTCGCTCCCAGAAAGGCGGCAAAGCCCCAGGTCCTGATCAGGTTCGGAACGAAGTCTGGAATGTCAACCGGCTCGTGCCAGCCGCTGGTTCTGGCCATTGTGTCTCCGCGTCAGTGGGGGCTACCCAGAGCCCATCCACTTTAAGGACTCAGCCGTATGTGCTCTGCACAAGAAAGGTCCCGCACACTTGCCCGTCAATTTTCGCTCCATTGCGATGCTCAATGGTGTTGCGAAGATGTGGCATTCGCATGTCCGAGCTACCGTTGGCCAGGAAATCCTTCGCCGATACTTCCCCACCCAGTTGGGAGGCCGCAAGGGTGTCGATACGGGGCTCGCCCTCGCTGTCTTTCGCTGTGCGAGCGACCTCGCCGATGCCAAGGGGCGTTCATGGGCAGCTTTCTTCGTCGACATACAGGCTGCTTATTATGAGACCGACAGGGATCTCTTGTTCCATGATGCTTCGGCAGACGAGACTCTACTCCAGCTGCGACTCCCGGCACATGTTCATGGACTTATTGCCGGAGGCGTCCTCAAGGGCCTTGGCGTGCCACAATCACAGATTGACTTGTTGCGTGACTGTGTCGAATGCTCCTTTTGGACATTCACCGGACAGCAACAGGCTGTCATGGCGTCACGCGGATCACGCCCTGGAGACGGTCTCGCCGATGTCCTATTCGGCGCTCTTTTTGCTGTTATCCTTAACTGCCTCGACCATGCCTGCCGTCGCGAAGGGCTTTGCCACGTCAGTCTGCATGAAGCACTTGGGGTTGATTCACGCCCTCTCCAAATTGCCTGGGCAGATGACCTCTCCCTCCTTGTCGACTTTGAATCCCCCGGCGAGGCTGTCGACCTGCTTCCGCGTCTGGCGACTTTGATTCTCCACACGATCGAGGCTTTCCGCTTCCGGGTCAATCTTGGCCCGGGGAAAACTGAGGCACTTGTCAAGCTTTGCGGTAATGGAGCCACTGCGGCGAGGGCCCGCTTGTTGTCGGATCCTGATGGAATTCTGACTGCGGACGGCCGCTATGTCCGTGTTGTTCCCGAGTATAAATACCTGGGAGTCCCACAACGAACTAATGACTCCGGTCGTCGGGACATAGAAGCTGCCGCGGGTCGGGGCCGCGCCGTCTGGAGCCAGGCTGCCAATCTTGTCCATTCCCCGCCTTTACCCTGGCCCCTCAAGCTTGCGTGGCTGAATGGCCGAACCCTCCCAGCGGCCTTTTCTTCCCTGAGCACTACAGTCGCGGTATCTGCTCGGGCCCTCAGCCCTCTCAAGGGTTTCTATGACCAATGCTTGCGACAGCTCGCTGCGGCATGGATGGATGGCCACCATGTATCGTCCGAAACCTTGCAAGTCTGCATCAGTGCTCCCGATGTGGATACGTCTATTTGTATTGCTCGCGTTGGTCTGCTGTGCCGGCTTGTCCAGAATCGCTCCAGCAGTGCTTACGAAGCCTTCGTCGCAGCCTGGGACCGTGCTGGTCGGTGGGCCACTCTTCTCCAACAGGCGGTGCGGCGGATTTGGCCCAATACGCACCTTCCTCCTTTGGCTGTTGGGGGCCCCACCCTCGCTCTGGTCCAGCGCTCCACCCGGCAGCTCCTTCACGCCTGCCGCCGCGTTAGCCGTCACGGCTCTCTGTTACAGGCCCTATG